TTATTCCAATTTGATTGTTCAAGTATTTTCGTATGTAAACTTTGTTGAAAACGTTAATTTCAAAACTGAATACTTAGTTACCATGAGATTCTCTGTAACTAAATGTATCATCTAGTAATTGGTAGGATAAACAAAATTTAATTCTGAATTAGCATGGAAATATATTGTATCTAAGGAAAAACAATGGTAGCACTGCCAGGAATAATTAACAGGGTTTTTATTTTCGTATTCTGAAAAACCAACCAAAACGAATACTTCTGGACTGACAGTAAGTCAGTATTGTTCTGCAAACATCACATAAACTGATTAGAATTTAACTAAATCTTTCACAATGCCAGTAGAAAAGAAATTCCATTTTTCTATTTAAAGAATTTTAAACATTTTTAGTGAAACCTTTTGGCGTGTATCTTTGAAATGAAGAATTATATACTTATATACCAATATATATATATATATATATATATATATATATATATATATATATATATATATATATATATATATATATATATATATCCGATACTTATATATCCAATATATTAGTTATTATAGTAGTCCGTGATCTTTTCAGTCTTTTTTTAGGGGTCTGTGGTTGTTTATAAATTTCTGCATGATCAGCAGAATGAGAACAGTTTAATCTCTTGGACTGGATGAAGAGTTCGGTTCGAAGAAGGTTACCAATTGCTACTTTACAAAATTGAATATTCTATTTTTTAAAATTTTTGCTTTCCTTCCGATGTTTTGAGTCTCAGTACAATTGACACTTTCGATTCGTTGTCATTTTCTTTTGCTATATTTCTTTCATTTGTTTTAAACTTCAAGTCAATTCGACACCTTTTCGTTCTTTCTTTATATCTTTTTTATTCAATAACTTTCTTTCTATCTTTCGTTTGTATTCTAACAATTTAGTTCTTTCTTTCTTTTATATTCCATAACTTTCTTTATTTCTTACTTTCATTCATTCATTCTTTCTTTCTTTTTATATTCTATCATTTTTTTCTTTATATTCAAATCACTTTCTTTCTTTTATATTTTACCATTACCTTTCTTCCTTTCTTTCATTCTTTCTTTTTATATTCTATCACTTTCACTCCTTTAAATTCTATCACTTTCTTCCTTCTTTCTTTTATATTCATCACTTTCTTGCTTTCTTTTATATTTTATCACGTTCTTTCTTTCTTTCTTTCTTTCTTTTATATTCTATCACTTTCTTTTTTATTTTCTATCACTTTCCTTCCTTTATATTCAATCACTTTGTTTCTTTGTTTCTTTCTTTGTTTGTTTCTTTCTTTCTTTATTTATTTCTTTATTTATTTCTTATATACTATCCCTTTAACTTCTTTATATTCTATCACTTCCTTCTTTTCTTCCTTCCTTTATATTTTTCAATTTCTTTCTTTTATATCACTCTTTTATTTAATCTTTGTTTGTTTGTTTCGTTCATTCTTTCTTTCTTTCTTTCTTTCTTTCTTTCTTTCTTTCTTATATTCTATCACTTTCACTTCTTTATATTCTGTCACTTCCTTCTTTCCTTCCTTTATATTCTTTCTTTCTTTCTTTCTTTCTTTCTTTCTTTCTTTCTATTCTGTCACTTCCTTCCTTCCTTCCTTCCTTCCTTCCTTAATTCCTTCCTTCCTTTATATTCTTTCTTTCTTTCACTTTCACTTCTTTGTATTCTGTCACTTCCTTCCTTCCTATTCTTTCTTTCTTTCTTTATATTCTGTCACTTCCTTCCTTCCTTCCTTCCTTCCTTCCTATTCTTTCTTTCTTTCTTTCTTTCTTTCTTTCTTTCTTATATTCTATCACTTTCACTTCTTTATATTCTGTCACATCCTTCCTTCCTTCTTTCATATTCTTTCTTTCTTTCTTTCTTTCTTTCTTTCTTTCTTTCTATTCTGTCACTTCCTTCCTTCCTTCCTTCCTTCCTTCCTTCCTTCCTTCCTTCCTTCCTTCCTTCCTTCCTTCTATTCTTTCTTTCTTTCTTTCTTTCTTTCTTTCTTTCTTTCTTTCTTCAATTTGCACTCCATATTCCTTTGTATCCCAGGGTTCTTTCGTGCTTCTCAACTGACAACAGCTGCCAAAAAAAAAAAAAAAAAAAAAAAAAAAAGCGTCCCCACTTACAAAAAATTAAGGCAAAGCTAAACGATCCTATTCAGCAAAAACTGATTAAATAAAACATTTTTCAAATATGAACGTAAGTAACCGCCTACGTTTTTAACAAATTCCCTTAAAATGTAAACAGGAAATATAAAAAATAAAGGGAATTGAAAGGATAAAAATGATAAGGAAAACAATAGCTAATGGTGAGAAAACATAATAATCACTGAATATATTATATGGTAGCAAGCATATTGGAATGAGACTACATCCTGAGCAATAAAGGTGCCAAAGCAAGTTGGGAGATGAGATTAGAAATAAAATTACGTACAAAAACAAAATTATTAAAAAAAGGAATTTAAATCTAAAAATAAATAAATAATAAAACAATAAAAAGAAAGATATGTAATAAAAGGACGCAGTCGATAAAAGTGTTGGTTGAGTAATCGAAAAAGTGACCAAAGAGTTGTGAGTTCAATACTTGGCAACAGCAGAGGTGAATAAAAAACTTGGAGAGTTTATTTACTAAAGGGAATTCACTGAAACTGAGATATTAAAAAAAGGTATGGCACGTGGAATTAGAACAGTATACCCCTATCCCACATTGACTAAATAATGGTTGTGATTTAAAAGTCCAAAGTATATCACCTGAAGAAGGTCGGAGAATACAACGGATGAAAACGTGAATATGGCGATTGTCATGGGTCCTTACCTATAACTACAGAATGAACTCTTCCTAACACTATGTATACTACGCCTCTTAAGAGAGAGGGTCGAATCAAGCCGAGCTTCTCGGCTTGACGGTCGAACTCTCTGCCTCTGAGCAGTGAGGAACCCGGACGAGGCTCCGCCGAAGGGCAGAATCTCGTTCGGGGAGGTTGACCAACCCGATCCCGTTTATACGGGTTCTACGGGCATTTTTTGGTCGAGCCTACGGGCTCGGGAAACCCACGTTAAACTCGGCCTTGTGTCACATGCAACCCTCGTGGGAGGGTGGCTAGATACCGAACCAAGCCAAGCTTCTCGGCTTGGCGGTCGAACTCTCTGCCTCTGAGCAGAGAGGAACTCGAACGAGGCTCCGCCGAAGGGTAGAGTTTCGTTCGGGGAGGTTGACCAACCCGATCCCGTTTACACAGCTTCTACGGGCATATTTGGCCGAGCCTACGGGCTCGGGAAACCCACGTTAAATTCTGCCTTGTACCACATGCAACCCTAGTGGGTGGGTGGCTAGGTAGGGAATCGAGCCGAGCTTCTCGGCTTGACGGTCGAACTCTCTGCCTCTGAGCAGAGAGGAACCCGGACGAGGCTCCGCCGAAGGGCAGAGTCTCGTTCGGGGAGGTTGACCAACCCGATCCCGTTTATACGGGGTCTATGTGGAGTTTTTGGCCGAGCCTACGGGCTCGGGAAGCCCACGTTAAATCTCGGCCTTGTGCCACATGCAACCCTCGTGGGTGGTGGTGGCTAGATACCAAATCGAATCGAGCCGATAGTAGTTCACTCCAAACCAGACTAACAGTCATGCTAACACCTTCCACATCTTCTATTATTATTTCGTGTAATATACTTTCGTTATTTCTACTATTGTGTTCGTATTGTTCTTCCTTTGGTCGAAACCTGGACCATAAGAGCAATAAAGATGAGGACAACAGTCCGAACGATGTAAATATTGTAAATAGTTACAATAACTCATCTCCGAAATATAGACAGAAAATATTTTATATTTAGTGATTTCAATGTTCATCATGTCAAGTGGATATATTTATAAAAAAATAATAGTCTGCTAGACTATTACTTTTTTAAAGAATTGTATTTTCCCTGACTTCCTCATTTTGACCTTTGAGGTCAGATATAAGAAAACAAAGGAAGTCGACATTAATTGATTAAAATTAGCGTGGGAATGTTAGACAGACAGATAGGGATTTCAGTTAAGTTTTTACACGTCATATAGTTATTTCGTGTCTCAGGGAACTTGCTCCCTAATGGGCATGATAGAACCACCTCACTGGTTAGCTAAAATGTACACGTTGATGTATTTGATCAAGTAGTAAGTCAAAATTCATTTTGTTAAAGTTCTCTTTCATCTCTGCACACCAAAAACATTTTGACACTCGACCAGGAGACGACGGCCGAGAGATATTTGTAATAACGTAATTTTATAGAAAATAATTTTGTAAACAATGCACTTCCACCTATAGCTCTATATCGAAGAATAGTTTAATTGTATGGCTTAATATTTGGACAGAGTATAATAGTTCAAATGATCCTTCAATATCTATCAATATTTCTGAGATGAGGTATTGTAACTATTTACAATATTGACATCACTCGGACTGTTGTCATCTTTATTGCCATATTCATGACGTCCCCAAAGATATATGGCCCAGTGGATAAAAGCGTTGGTTGAGTAATTCAAAAAGTGACTTGATCTAAAGAGATATGAATTCAATACCTGGTCACAGCAGAGGGAACAAAATTTGGAGAGTTGAGTTAGAAAAGAGAATTACTTGAAACTGAGATATCCAAAAAATGCATAGCACGGAGAAATAGAACAATCTACCCACCGTGGATTAAGTAAAGGTTTTGGTTTGAAATTCCAACGTATATCAGCTGAAGAAGGTTGGAACGTACAACGGCCGAAACATCGTGAATATGGCAATAAAGATAATGACAACAGTTCGAACATTGTAAATAGTATAAATAGTAATAAAATAAATAAAAGAAAATGTCTTTGCTAAAAGAAAGTGGGGAGATATTTAGTAGATTTTAGATACAGTTAATTGTGGTAGAAATAGCTACAATAATAATAAGAAGAATACTAATGTAAAAGAATCAGTAATCACTTAATATACGCAGGTGCAAGCGTAATTATAGAACAATTTGATATATCCTGAGAAATATAGGTGTTAAGGGAGGTTTGGAAATGAAATTAGTAATAATACTACAAAGAAAAAGAAAATTAGTAAGTGAATAAATACAGTAAGATAGCCTGGGAAAATATAAATAATTACGAAAAGAACAACATCTGCAACAGAAGAAATAAATGAAAAATATTCGCAAAAAGACATGGAATTTAGTAACAGAGACAAACTGTTTTAGAACAGTTAAAGCAGGTTTTACAAACCGGAAAACATAGAAGAGAACTAAAAGAAAAAATAGAAAAAGAGAACGAAAAGAAAAAAAATAAAAGAATAGAAAAAAGAGAACTAAAAAAATAAAAGAATAGAATGAAGAGAACGAAAAGAAAAAGAATAGAAAGGAGAGAACTAAAAGGAAAATGAATGGAAAGAAGAGAACGAAAAGAAAAAAGGAATAGAAAGAAAAGAAGTAAAAGAAAAAAGAATAGAATGAAGACAAAGAAAAAAAAAGAAGAGAAAGAAAAGAGAACTAAAAGAAAAAAATAGTAGAAAAAAGAGAATGAAAAGAAATAAAAGAATAGAATGAAGAGAACGAAAAGAAAAAAAGAAGAGAAACAAGAGAACTAAAAGAAAAAAGAATAGAATGAAGAGGACGAAAAAAAAAAAAAAGAAGAGAACTAAAAGAAGAAAAAAGATTAGAAAGAAGAGAACTAAAAGAAAAAATAGTAGAAAGAGAAGAACGAAAAGAACTAAGAGAAAAAAGGAATAGAAAGAAAAGAAGTAAATGAAAAAAGAATAGAATGAAGAGAACGAAAAAAAAGAAGGGAAAGAAGAGAACGAAAATAAAAAAGAATAGAAAGAAGAGAACGAAAAGAAAAAAAGAAGAGAAACAAGAGAACTAAAAGAAAAGCAAAAAATAAAAAATAAATGAATAAATTCGTTAAAAAAATCTAAAAATACTTGGCGATTTGAAAGGCCTTCCACAATTTTTTATAGTTCAAACGATTCCCAGGCGTACAAAAAAAAATGAAACCCGCAATCTGCACATGGAAGTAAAATACTCAAGTTGACTACGAATAAAAGAGGATTCTGATTCAAAGAGACGCTCTAAAAGGAACAATTCAAATTAATTATAGGCCGATAACATGCATACCGAGGCATACGACATATGATATGTTACAAAAGTGACGATCTACGAAAAGAGAGGAAGTAGTAAACCAGTCAGTTATGTGCGTGATACACGCTAAGCCGATCATGTCTTTTTTGATACATGACTGACGACGCAGATTTTTTTCTGCAGTTGGTTGCCATTTCTTTCTACGGTAGACCGGTTGCCATCCAAGGCTATAAAACCCAGTCTGTCTTGCTATTTACCTGGGGGGAGAAGAAGAGGATTGATACCTTTCCCAAGGGTATTAGCACGTAAGTGAATGTAATGGATTTGACTGCAATTCGAACTCGGCTCTCCGATTCCTCAACCCCAGCCGCTATCCATTACTCCACAGTAGAATCTAAAACGCTAAAAATAGAAATAATATATTACAAAATACCTACGTCAGGATCTCACAAAATTCGATATTAGAATATTTAAATATGTACGGAATTTCAAAACAGCTGGTGATAATCAGAACAAATTCAATTAAAAACTGGAGTCTAAAACAAAGTAGAAGGTCATCAAAGGTCATCATTTTGAAATAATTTAACGGTCCCTCTTTAGCTGTACTTTCCACGGTTTCAGTAACCTGTAGCCAACCTCTGAATTTTGAATGATTGATTTGCTTTTTGATGGTTTATCAACCTTTTGCAGGTTATTTAAAGCTAGGAACAACATCAAGGCATCATTATTTTGTCTAATCTGAGTCTTGTGAAGATAAAGTATGGCAGAATGTGTCAGTCATATGAAGTGGCACATAGAGTCGGCCATACTTTCCAGCATCTAAAGCGATTGATCGTATATACTCAGGACGCGATGGATAAATTGTCGTCTAAATTACGCAAAAACGAAGATAACAATAGCATCTCAATTTAACACATATATTTACCAAAATTACTCAGAAATATCTTGAAAGACTAACGAGAAAATTTATTCAATAAAATCGCCATTGACTTCAACCACGGGTTCCAGACGACTTCGGAATCTCCTGCAACTCTTCTGGACTGTCTCCTTTTTTTAAGTTGGTGAAGGCTGCCATAATCCTTGGCTTCAGTTCATCTTTAGTGTTACAAGGAGTTTTGTTGGTCTCTCGCTCAACTGCGCCCCATACATAATAATCAAGGGGGGGTTGCAGTCCGGGGAATAAGGTGGCCGGATGTAAGGGGTGATGTGGTTGTAGAAATTGTCTGAAAGGCATAACTGGGTTCATCTGCTTGTGGGGTATGGTGCAGAGTACTGTCTCCATACATAGGGTCTTCCTGCAGCCACCTTCTTGACACAGGGCAGCACTACCTCCTCAAGGCACGATGTAGATATCCATGTTGTGTCTGAGACCTGGTGGGAAGATGAATAGTGGAATAATTTTACCATCACTAGTGATCATTCCAAACATCTTCGTAATCACCATTAGACACATCCAACTCTTTCTGCAATGTCCTCAGATTGACACGCAAACACACTAAAATGTTCGTGTTGGAGCTTCCAGCGCGAATGCCGAACAATCCAACCCGAAGGACAGTAATAACGAAGATGCTTTCCAGAAACTAAGCAGAGTATTAAGATATTGAAAACAGTGTTGAATTCCTTTGAAATATATATGTAATATGCGGCATATAAATTTTGTTTGTTTAATAACATATCAACACCTTATGGGTCATTTAATGCCAAAATTTAATTTTATTGGGAGCTTGAGTAATTTTTTTCTTTTTACAAAGAATATTACTGGTAAATCTTTTTCTCTTACAAAAATCTGTTGCTGGTATTTTTTATTTTAAATTTATATTTTCATATAGGAAAGAAACAGTTGACAGTTTGATACACATAATGAAGAAAGCTAGTTTAGAGAAATTGACACACATAGGGCGTATTGAGTGGAAATAGGAGCTGCAGAAAACAACAGGTATTCTACTTAAAGAGTTAACGCAAATGAAAGAACAAGGACAAAGACGGATGTAAAAGAGGTAAAAGTCAGAGCAACAAACGAGAGGAAGTTGTGGAGAACTATGATCGCCTATCAAGTCTTATTTCATATTAAAGTTCACAATTACAAAAACCACACAAGGTAGAGAGGTACTGTTAAAACGGCAATGATGAATGAGGTGTGTAAAATGAATGTGAATATGTAATAAAAAGGCCAAAATTGCAGTGATCGGAGTAGTTTCCATGGGCAAAAGCAGCAGATTTTTGGCAAAAAGTTGTCTGATTGGAAATTTTATTTTACATTTGAAATACGAGGGTAATGATAGTGATTCGACTCCGCGAAAGTAGGGTGGTGTGTTCAAGCTGTAAATAATTGAACTAGTTAATTTTTTAAAAATGGATCTTACCTGAGTATTTGCTATGGAAATAGCGATAGAGTAGAAACGGGATTTTGACGATGTGTCTTTGGGGAAAGAGGCTGTTGAGTGGAAAACGTCTTCCCTAACCACGTCGTATAAACGGATAAGAGATATTATTTACATTATTTGGACTATTGTCCTCAACTTTGTCGCCATATTTATTACAACGTTTCGACGGTGTACACCCCGGCCTTCTTCAGGTAGTTGGAATGTCGAACTGAACCCTTTATTTCGCTAACTGGGGTAGACTGTTCTAGTTCCAGGTGCCAACTTTGGAAGGTTTGAGCAATACTTGACAGTCCGGAGATTCAATCTATATATATATATATATATATATATATATATATATATATATTATGAAATAAACAAAGTCCGACAATTATTTTAAGACATTTTTTATGTTTATACGTTCTTTTTGTAGATACAAATATTTAAGTAAATGCTCTGTTTATAATAAATAGTACACAGACATGACAGAATTGAATAGACACCAAGATAAATTTTATATCTGATTATTTTTAATAACCAAGATAAATTAACTTAGATTATTTGATTGTAGATAACAATAATGGAACATGCCACGAACCAAAGGAGAATCAGACCTATCCGAATTTCAGCGAGGACGTATCGTGGGCCAACATGAATGTGGTCTTAGTCAAAGAGAAATATTGAACAGGATCCACGTTGCAAGGCCTCTGACATAGCAACAGTCCCAGAACAGCTGTCAGGTATCTTCACAAGCTAGGCTACTATGGCAGAGCTGCGTGAAGGAAACCACTTCTCCGTCCAGCCAATATCAAATGCAGAAAGGATTGGGCTCATAAGATGGTGGAGAGACCTATGACCTTTTGGACCACTGTCATTTTCTCTGATGAGTCAAGATTCGCATTATTTTCCGACAGTGGAAGAGTATGCGTATGGAGACTCTGTAGTCAAGAGTTTTTAAAAAGACTGCAGCCAACAATGAAACATGGGGGCCTTTCAGTAATGGTATGGGGTGCAATTTGGAGTGATGGTCGCTCAGAGCTTGTGGAGTGTGAAGGAAACATTAATTCAACCAAATATATTTCTATATTAAAGAAAGGGCTCCTTCCAATATTCTTAAGTAGTAGAATGAGCAAAGTTGACTCCCTATTTATGGAAGATGGAGCTCGATGTCACACTGCTCAAGCAACGCAACATTGGTTGAGACAAAATGGGATCAATAAACTTCTATGGCCAAGCCAGTCCCCGGATATTAACCTTATTGAACACCTTTAGGTCATATTAGATCGAAAACTCCGCAAAAAGAACAGGAAGCCATCTTCTAAGCCCGAACTTTTAGGATTATTGCCTCAAACATGGCAAGAAATCCCTCAAGATGATATTCGTGAACTCATCGCTAGCATGCCTAGAAGGGTCCTTGCATTAAAAAAAGCAAAAGGGATGTCAAGCAAGTATTAGTTATTAAATTTATGACCATTTATAATTACTTCATTTGTATAAATTACATATTTAATAAAATAAACGGTTTCTGTGAGCGTCTATTCAATTCTGCCATGTCTGTGTATTAACGACATTTACCGGCCTGAATGCCCGAGAAATTTTTAATCAAACCTGTATCCTATACGGGACCATCATATAGCCTGACGTGCTTTTACCGATTGAGCCATAGAGGAGCATTTAGGTTAGCAAGGTCGATTTTACTGTTTTTAAGCTACAATTCTTCATGATTTTCTCTCGTACATTCATATCTGCTCGATGTGTATCCAAATGTAAACAAGTGATGTCACACATTATGAAATGAACAAAGTCCGACCATTATTTTAAGACATTTTTTATTTTATACGTTCTTTTTATAGATACAAATATTTAAGTAAATGCTCTGTTTATAATAAACAGCATTAACGACATTTACCGGCCTGAATGTCCGAGAAATTTTCATAGAAAATATGCGTCCTCGACAGGAATCGAACCTGTATCCTATACGGAACCGCTTTTTTGTCTTCTTTCCTTCGACCACGCTTCACCCGGCGGCAAGCCTCAGTTTCTTCTCTCCTTGCTCCTGCTCTCGGTGTAAATCAAGTCTCCAGCGTGAACGATCGTTGATGAAGTCTTCCCACCTCTCGAGTTCTTTGTCCATCGTCCTCATGTCACTTTTGCAGACGTCCTCGAAACGAACATGAGGTTGATCTCGTGTTCTATTGCCCCTGGCCAGATCCCTATACAAAAGCACCTTCGGAATCTTCCTATCAGTAGACTGTTGCCTTGCGTGGTTTACCCCCGTTCTGAGGTGAGAACGAGAAGAAAAAAACAAGAAAAATAGAATCAGAAGAAAATAGAACGAGAAAAATGGAACGAGAAAAAAAAGAACGAGAAAAAGAAGAAAGAGAAATAGAACGAGAAAAATAAAACGAGAAATAGAACCAGAAAAATAGAACGAGAAATAGAAAGAGAAAAATAGAATGATAAATAGAAAGAGAAAAAAGAAAGAGAAATAGAAGAAGAAAAATAAAACGAGAAATAGAACGAGTAAAATAGAACGAGAAATAGAACTAGAAATAGAACGAGGAAAATAGAATCAGAATCAGAACGAGAAAAATAGAACGATAAATAGAAAGAGAAAAAAGAAAGAGAAAGAGAACGAGAAAAATAGAACTAAAAATAGAAAGAGAAAAATAGAATGATAAATAGAACGAGAAAAATAGAACCAGGAATAGAAAGAGAAAATAGAACGAGAAAAATGGAACGAGAAAAAAAGAACGAGAAAAAAAGAACGAGGGATAGAACGAGAAAAATAAAACGAGAAATAGAAGGAGAAATAGAAGGAGGAAAATAGAACGAGAATTACAACGAGAAATAGCAAGTGAAAAATAGAACGATAAATAGAATGAGAAAAATAGAACGAGAAATAGAACGAGAAAAATAGAACAAGAAATTGAAAGAGAAAATAGAACGAGAAATAGAAAGATAAAAAAGAACGAGAAATAGAACGAGTAAAAGAGAACGATAAATAGAACGAGAAGAAAACAACAATTATAACGAGAAACATATCAAGAGAAGAAATTAAAACGAGTAGAAAACAGAATGAGAAAAAGCACGAGAAAAATAGAACGAAAAAAAAAGAACGAGAAAAAGAAAAATTGAATTGAACGAGAAGAAGATAGAGCGACAAATAGAATTAGAAATGAACGAGAAAAGATAATACGAGAAGTTGAACGAGAAGAAAAGAAAGAAAGCTATGCAAAGTTGGCTTAAAAATGCTCAACACATCGACTGCAGGAAACGTTACAAGAGATAGACAAAATAAGAAACCTAACTAGACAAATTCAAAACTTGAAAAAAGCCGGTTAAAGATATACAGAGTGTCCATAAAATCTCTTTACAATTTAAAAAAAAATTATTACAAAAGGAAATGATCAGACAAATATATGGAAATTGCTATGAAGAGTAGATATTGAAATTATTTTAAACTAATTTAATACACATATATAGGGACACCATTAGTTGCAGGAAACACATGAAGACGGTACTCGATTTCTTGTCATGATCACTGTTGCATAGCCTCATCAATGGTAGCAATGGCATCAGTGATCTTTTGCTTTGATACACGATATCTTTAACAAAACCCCATAGAAAAAAGTTCTGTAGTTTTGCTGAATCTGCGTATCCAGTTTTGTTTCAATAAACCATAATTGTGCCTTTTCTTGAGGAGTAGCCATTTTTAGGGGTTCATTTAACACTACCTGATTCATCAACAGGATATCTGAAATACACAAATACAATTTGATTAAAACTTTGATAACTACTAAGTAACAGAACAATTCTTTTTAAAATATATCATCAATTGCTTTTGTAATATATTTTTTTGAATTGTAAAGTGTCTTTATGGACACTCTGTATGTCATCAAGTCTTCAAGTGTAGATACGTTATGGTAAAAAGTCAAAAAGAATGATGGAAAAAATAAAGCTATCTGAATTACTGTGAAGGTGCATCAGAAATAATGGTAAGGCATTAGTTAGATAAAGACGTCATTGCCACTAATGTCTTACTAGTATGTGGGGGGACTTATGGGAGGTATATGACGGAGGTATTTCTACCGAACGTTGTATAATCTATATATTAATCAAGAATTCTCAACCTTTTTTTGTATTAGTGCATTTCAGCCGATTCGTTCTTCGATCTTCTGTCTTAAATTCTAAGATAATTTTCACCATTCATTAAGTTTTTCAAATATACGCGCCCTGTCACCGGGCGTTCCTGGCCTGTTTGAAATTCTTAGACGAGACCTTGTTATTATGCAAGTTGTTCAAACGAAAGTTCGTTCGGTTTTATCACTACGTTCGAATTGCTCTAGTTTTAGGCCTTCCTCATCTGTTTAGTGAAGTGATGTAATGGAATGACCTGTCACCCCCATGAGTTACCACACTATAGGTAGTAACTAGCTATAACTATCTGTAAGTCATTGGATTACAGAGAATAACTGAAACCTTTTTCGGCTGTACTGGCAAATTCTCTGCCTTCGAGCAAACTCTCTGCCTTCGAGCAAACTCTCTGCCTTCGAGCAGACGAGGCTATGTCGAAAAGCAGAGTCTCGTCTGGGGTGCTAGACAGCTGCCCGATCTCATTTTTTACGGAGTCTACGGGGAAGTTTTGCCCGAACCTACGAGTTCGGATACTTCACGTTAAATTCGGCGACATCTGTGCCACATCCGACTGCGTGGGGCGGTTGGCAAATGTCCTAGCTGGAACCGTTCCCAGCCGTGCTGGTCAAACTCTCTGCATTCGAGCAGAGAGGATCCCCAGACGGGGCCATGCCGAAGGGCAGCGTCTCGTCTCGGAAAACAGCTACCCGACCCCGTTTTATACGGGGTCTACGGGAATTTTTGATGAGCCTACGGGCTCGGATGCCCCACATTAATTTCGGCCATGTGCCACATCTGATCGCTTGGGGAGGTTCTTTTCTAGCTGTGCTGGTCGAACTCTCTGCCTTCGGGCAGAGAGGAACACGGACGAGGCTATGCCGAAGGGCAGAGTCTCATCCGGGGTGGTAGACCGACCCGATCCCGTTTATGCGGGGTCTACGGGGACTTTTTGTCCGTGCCTCCGTGCTCGGGGACCCCACATTAAATTCATTATTATGCCACATGTGACTGCTTCGGGCAGTTGCTAGATACCGTCTAGCTGGGTTCTGTTATTCAGCTCTTAGCTGTTGTCAAACTCTCTGCCTTCGGGTAGAGAGGAACCTGGACTAGGCTGTGCCGAAGGGAAGAGTCTCGTCCGGGGAGGTAGACAGACCGGAACCCGTTTATGTGTGGTTTCGGAGAATTTTTAGCCAAGGCTACGGGCTCGGATTGCCTCACATTAAATTCGGCCTTGTGCCACATCCTACCTCGTGGGGAGGCTGGTAAATATTTCTCGCTGCGATGTGTTGAGTACGACTCAGATTTATACGAGAACTACCGACGTTCCAATAGTAGCACTTACTACTGGATTGACTTGCGATGACCATGTGCATAACTGTTTCCTTTATTCTTATTGTACCGGTTTTTACAGTAAACCTTTACTTATTTTATCCACCGTGTTTTTCAAGTATAGATTCCTATTAGCATGGAATATAACAGGAAGTTAGTTCGTTTTTAAATAGTGCTTTAAAAACCATTTAGAATTGCTACAATTTCTTGAATTCTACTCACCTAGATATTGTTGATATTTATTCTAAACCTCAAGTGGGAAATTGATAGGGGAGGCAAGCTAGCACCCAGAAGCAAATCCCTACGTCCGACACTCAAATGAATATTTGGTTGCTGCTGGGATTGGCCGTTTGCCGCTTGTTGATGTACAGGAAACGTGATGGTGGGAAGGAGACTGATTTCATTGTAATTAAATAAATAAATTAAAATAAATAAATGGTACTTAGCCTAATTATTGTTTATATAATTTCACTGAAATAATGAGCAGCAAATTAGGAAGGATATTAGAATAATCCCAAACTTATGCTAGCAGCAAACCAACCGCATACAGATATAAAATGAATTCAGTAAATATACAAAAATAGAAAGTATGCCTTCTCAACAAGAATTATTCAAAATTTATGGTGAGGCAATACTGAAAGAATTAAATGTTCTACCATGATTTATTATTGACGGCCAAGCTTGACAAGATATACAAATGGCGCAGTCTTAACAGTAGACACAGAAAGAAACTACAAGAATTCCCAGACAGTAATCAAGGAAAGCAAGAAGAAAGGACTAAACATCAATTGCAAGAAGAAGAGTGCATGGTTGTCAGCTAAAGAGACAACCCAACATGCGAATTACAAATTAGAGATACAAAAATCAAGCAAGAACAATAATTTAAATATCTGGGAAGAGTCTTTAACAGAAAAGAGAAGGTGCGACACCGAAATCCGAATATAGAAATAACCGAAGGTGCTGATCAAAAAGCTAAGCAAAATATTAAGAAACAGGAAAATTTCATTAGTAACAAAAAAGTGAGTATTGAACTATTACATAATATTGCCCGCCCCCCGTAGCAATGAATGCTGGACAATCTCCTCGCAGATGAAGAAGAGACGTGAACCAAAAGAAATGTGGTTCTACAGAAAGACGCTGATGATAACCAACGACGAAGTTTTAGACAAAATGAAAACAAAAAGAACACTTAACATCAGAAAGAGAGAGTTGAAATTTCAAGGTACATAATGTGGAAAGAGGGTTTGGAAAATTTGACGCTCACAAGACACCCTGAAGGTAACAAGGACAAATGAAAGCAGCGCATAATTTATTGCATGTTCTCGTGTAAATGTTTCACAGAACTGGGTTTAGAAGATATGGTAAAAAGAAATTTAGAGCTACAAAGGACAGGAAATTGTGAAGAGCCAAGATCGACCACTATGCTGAAGGGACGTGGTACATAGAAGTAGAAGAATGAACAGTATCCAGAGATGAAGCATTAACAAGATTCTACTGAATTTGATGAGAAATAAGAATATCAGGCCATTAGGCATAAATTCCGTATGCCATTGTCTTCGAATCCGGCCAAGTACAAGAATTTGTAATGTATGGCGTCAATTAAACCTAAGCTTATCAAATGCATCAGTTTGCATATAAATTGCAGGAGATAGTTTTGAGTTAATTCTTATGGGCGAAAATTTCTGGGGGTATGGACCGAACATGTGAGCAAAGATGAAGAAAATGGAGACAAAATGTACACATACATCAGGATGAGGCATTTGACATTTCTAAGGCACATAATGAGGAAAGAGAGCTTGGAAAAGTTGATACTCACAAGATAGATTGAAGGTAAGAGCAATAGAGGAAAATAACGCATATCCTACTTAAAGAGCAAGAGTAAATGAATTGTGGAACAGGCTTTAGAAAAGATAACAAAACGACAAATTTAATTAAGAGGCAAAAGGGGGTGGAAATTGTGGAGGGCCATAATTGCCAACATCGTAAAGGAACAGTACATAAAGAATAATATCAGATGAGTCAATTATGGTAGTCATTGGTTGCCTCTCAGTTACTGGAGAAAATTTAATAACATTCAAATTTACAATATCTGTCTATATTTCTGAGATGAGGTATTAAGTACATTATTAGCATTATTCGGACTATTGTCCTCATCTTTGTCGCCATATTTATTACAAATTTTCGGCCTTTCAGTATCTGTCTATATTTCTGAGATGAGGTATTAAGTACATTATTTACATTATTCGGACTATTGTCCTCATCTTTGTCGCCATATTTATTACAACGTTTCGGTCTTTCAGTATCTGTCTATATTTCTGAGATGAGGTATTATGTACATTATTTACATTATTCGGACTATTGTCCTCATCTTTGTCGCCATATTTATTACAACGTTTCAGCCGTTGTACGCTCTGGCCTTCTTCAGGTGGTTGGAATGTCGAACTGAACCCTTTATTTCACTCACTGGGGTAGACTGTTCGAGTTCCACGTACCATGTTTAATGGATGTCAGTTATCAGTTATCTACTGTTAATTCCCCTCTGAAAGTTCTCCACTGCCTTAACCGGGTATTGAACTC